ATTTAGCTTTGATTGTGTCAGTGTCTATGGAAATATTTTAGTAGGTACTAGTGGAAAAGTCCCAGTCCGTAGGTTACCTTCAGTCGCCCTGGCATTGATCAGGCTTTTGATCCTCTCGGATTTGCACAGGGTCTCCTTAACAGCTTTTTTGGAGTTGAAGTCCGTCTCCTGCGAAATAAAAGACAAGTACGGTAATTGTGTTAAATCTGTCAAATCTTCATTTATTTATTTCTATTCTGCAGGAACAAGAGGCCGTTCAAGGCCCGTTTCTTTTTAAGAATCTATGCTTTTGAGAGACAAAAGGGTCAGAAGCTAAATAACCTTTGCGATCTTCAAAAGAAGGGTGCACATTAGTTCAGCAGAGCGTTAGGGGGTAGAGGGCCGCTCTAAAGAAAGACTCAACCTTTAATGAGTGAAGTGCAGCTCTCAGAGACAGAGTGGTGTGGAGCTCGGGCCTCCCCAGACCGCCTGCAGCTCCACCGGAAGCAACCGGAGCCTCCAACGCACATCTGAGGGCTCAGAGCGCAGAAACAGCTTTCATCCAAGAGCAGAATTGAATAGATTACTATACGCTAAAAACATTACATGACACGGGAAAATGAAGTTTTGGTCTTGGTAAAAAATTTGAACGACTTGCAATCCATACCTAGAATTGACCTTTTCATGTCATTCATATCAAATTGCTGATATTTGTAAAGTGTCTCCATAACAGCTTGATTTTTTTTTTTAAGTGCTTGCAATATCATACGAAGTTTGGAATAAATTAATTTAATTTAGCAGTGACACTAAAAACAAAGACCTTAGTATAACTAGATGATGTACAAGTGTTCTACACAAAAAAATGTATGTTTAGGTTTTTTTGTTTTTTGCCAGTGTACAAGAAGCCCATTAAACCTTATATATGTATATATGGTTTCCAAATGAATTGTTTATCTTATTATATTCATTGAAATATTGTCCAAATCCTTTAAAGTTTAGTGCCACACTGGAGCCGACATCCCCCAACAACATTCAATTAAAAGTGCATGAAAGGAGGAGTTTGAGGAATTTTGTTTTTTAGGGTGGAACAATAAAAAAGCAGTTCAAATCTCCAGTTACCATGGTGACAGCCGCTGCTCCCTTGTTGACTTGAGGTTTCTCTGTGACCACGATGGGCCATTTCAAATGACAGAGATACTGAGATGATCACTTGATCATCTACAAGAGACCAGAGAAAGACGTTATCACTTTGGCCTTTATACGCACACAAACACACAAAATAAACCTGGCTACTTTTGACATCTGTTCCAATTCATCCCACCCTTTCTTACACAATTTCCCAAGTGGTGACAGTGGTCACTGTATCTAATGTGAACAAAACCCACAACTGAAAACTTAATGAGTTGCAACCAGTGATGACGTAACTGTGAGGTTACCTTGGTAACTCTTAACCCTGTAATGCCAAATTAATCATATTTGATACGTACGGTTTCTGAAATGTTTTGCGTCTGACACCTTTTGCATAATTTAAGGGTAAAAACTTAGCTCAAAATCCTGTTGTACACAATCAGATACACCTGATAACAGGGGGCAGAAGACTACACAAAAATAATCTGGACTTATCGCATAGTAATCAATTATTAAATGCATTTCCGTTTTTTCTTTTTACATATTTTGTTAAAAGGACAAATAAAGACTTCAAACAAAAAAAAAGTAATTTTCTGTTTTGTTTTATTTTTGGATCGGGCTTTAAAGGGTGAAATGAAAGCTTTCAAAATAAACTTTAAAAATGCAGTCACATAAACCTTGCTGGGTTTCCTTAAAACTCAGGAGATGCAACTTAATGTGGTTTCTTCCTGTACTTTTGAATTTAAAATGGAAGTTTCGTGAAAGCAAAATCCCATCAAGGACCGTTAGCTCTGAACGAGGCTGAACCGAAAACCGGCTCCTGTGTGGAAACTACCATAGCTACGCTGCTCGAATCTGTATAGAAATATTCTAACTAGGCCTTGGTTTCGTTCAAAGCTTGTTTGGGATTTGTTAAACCTTTTCCTGATTTGTGAAAAACCAAAACGGGGCCATTTTAATGCATTTTTGGCATTATGATTACAGTAAACTGGGTCCTGTATGGAAACGAATGCAATTCTTGTGTAACTCTACTCGACCGCAAACACTTTACGATCGAACATGCTAAATGTTATTTTAATGAAACATAATCGATGCGGTATTGACCAGGACAGCTAAAATTGTTTTGTTTTTCCCCAACAGCTTCTTCTGTTACCAGCAACTGTTAGGCTTGTCCGGAAGTGTTCCCGTGAATAATTTGCTTCCGGTATCTGATATAAGCGGAAGCGGAAGACAATGGATTGTGTCCTATTTGGATTCAATACTTTTGTAACAATGACATACCAAAGTAATCTTCTATGTTACTGTTTTTCTGCTTTCTTACGTGGTCGGAGTTGCGCCGCTGTCTTCAAACGGACTCTTCTTCGTGGCCCTCGGTTCCGGTGGCGGGCGGTGACCGCCAGCTTTAAAGCGCTTTACCGCCACCTGCTGGATCAGATGTGTTCAAATATATATTTTTGGAATCCAATGCTTTTGTTGGTCTGTTTCAGTTAAAAATCGTCATCAATCGAATGGCATTCAGTAATAAAACAAACACACGAGACACACATATTCAGAGAGGCATCAGCTGCCGGAGTGTCAAATGTAGAGTTGATTGATAAGAGCTGAATTTTACTGTTAGTGGATGGTCAACCAAAACGTTTCCAATGACAACACCCACTGCCGCAGACAGGTTAGCACGGAGTTAATCTTTCCCATTAGGCTATTTAATGTTTGTTTTTTTCTCTCTTTCTTTGGCTTCTGTCGAGTCTGTGGTGCCGGCCCTTTAGGTTTCTTCTTCTGTTCAGTGGCCTCCTCCTGCTCATGGCCTCTGGATGTGGAGAAGATGGCAGCCAGGATGCGGATAAACTGGAAGATGAGGCCCAGGAATAACCCAAAACGCAGAAAGCTTTTAAATAAGGTGGGAGTGGACAGGTCCAGCTCTGCAGACACCACACACAAAATAAGGCCCCCCTTTTTAGGAATCATTTCAGGTTTCAAATGAATCTCTGAAACAAACTCAGGGCAAAATCTGAAACCTCAACAAGAAGGACAAGCTTAGTAATTCACAAAAAGGAGAAAAACAAATGTGTTAAAAACATACTCTGACAGCTGAATTCTTTTGCAGTTTTTGCAAAATCCTGAAACATGGACACATTTCTTCCACCCCGTTATGTCTGATTCCTACGGAAGTATTGCATTCACCAAACAAACAAATAAATAAATAACACAGTAGATACACCAGCTCAACAGTCACACAAACACTTTCTTATCACATTCCAGTGAAATCTGCATGAATTAGGAGCTGGCCTGTTCATGTCCAATAATATTCCAGCCTTCCTACTGTCCGGGGCAGGGGCAGCCCACAAGATAAATCAGATCAGAATCAGAATGTCCATCACACCCGGGTTTCGGGGCTCTTGCTGACTTAGATCCTGGGGGAACTTTGCCTGTGAGAGCCCAGTTCTGATGACTTTACCTGGGACCAAATACATTTAAGCTTTAGTACTCTTGATCTGTTCTCTGCTTCAATCTCAGGCTTCTAACTAAAGAATCGGGCTAACAGAAGAAAGTAAAAATATCTAAGTAAGTAATCAAATTAGTATAAACATCTTTCTTAAGGGGAAGTTCAGATTAAATTTGGTCTATCCAATTCTGTGGGGAAATTCTTTAAGATACCCTATACATTTTGGCCGTTTATTGTTGTTATAAGTTTAAGAGATTTGATATATATTTTAAATTAATTAGTAAAGATTAAATTTGGGAGCTGATTTTAGTACTCTGTTCTTGTGAATAAAAAAAGTTTGCTTAACACAACAGAGTTAATCATTTTTGTTTTGCAAGATCATACCAAAAGTTACATCATCTTTGGAGATAAAAGCTGGAAACAATACAAACATGCATGATTGTGCTGTTGTTATTGTTGTTTTGCTGGCATGTCGTAATTACGGGGAAAGATCTCATAATTATAAGTACAATTAGAAAAACGGCACAGAGTTTGTTTTGTGTAATGTTTTTAGATTGTTTTATTTTTTTAGATGGAAATTGAGACTCCCCGGTAATGAAAATACCTTAATAAAAAAGTTCCTGATTTTCTTACAGCTTAGTGGCTGTTGTAAACCATACAAGGTGAAGTTGTAGACCAAAATGAAAATTTCCTTTCAGTACTTACAGAGTGGTCATTTTGTGGCGGGAACAAAGTCTGCTCCAAATATTTAGAGCAAAGAAGATGTTTTTCAAATCCATGACAGAGAGAGGGCATGGAGAATGAAACTACAGGAATGGAGAAAATCAAAGCAGATAGGCTCCGGTCAGACTGGATGAGGAGGACATCGCCCCATGACTCTTCTCACTTCAGCTGTGGGACTGCTGTAGAAGCAAACTCAGTCAGCCGCAGTTGTGCAATTATTGTTTATTCAGATAAAAGGATTCCCAACTAACAAACACTCAAACAATTACAAAACATCTCAAAGCAGTTTAGCTCTTCGTAGCTGGCTGTCTAACACAAACCTTTTCCGGGAGATATTTTCCATGTTGTTCTGCTCTACTGCAGACTGAGGACATCTTTAGCGATTAGCTCAGTACACGATGTCCTAAATCAATTTTACCCCCCCACCCAAAAAATAATCCTGGCACTAGATTATAGTTCAAACAAACAATAAAACGATCATTCAGTATCATGTGACAGGGCACAAAAAGTTAAACTGTAGGGTTAAAAAAAAACGTTATTAGCTTCTTCTTTTTTTAGGAAAATCCAAACAGGAGGGAGAGAACAACTTTGAATAGATACGACAGCTTTAGGGAACCGCTGTTCCTACTGTAGAGACGCATTTCTTTTCTTCTTTTTTCTTTTTTCTGTGCTTCCGTTTATAGAGCCGGGAGGCTGGGCAATGTGATGTGTGGAGGTATGTAATCAGCCCCTGGACTCCAGAGACCTGAGGGAGGAGAAAAAACAAGTCTGTGGAGAACAATCTGCCATCATTGTAGTGGACTATCCCAAAAACAAAAAAAATAAACTAAACTAAAACAAAAACCCAGGCTTAACACCAGTATTCTACTGGTATCTCAGCATAACCTAGGCTAGGGTCGTTCCATTTTATTTTTTGGTATTGCATTGGCCACAGTTTAAGAAGATTTAGAGGTAAGGCTTCAAGTTATTTCAGGTTTTAATCTATCCACCAACATTACTGTAAATATGCATTTTCTCTTTCCTTCCCAATATTTGACCAAGAGTTTAGCTTCGATAAACAAATCAACTCTGTGGTCAAATCTAGCTTTCACATTTGCAGTTTAAAGTCAAATCTTTTGTAAACCCCACTGACCAGAGGTCCTTCATGCCTGTGTGAATCCTGGACTGGATTACTGTAGTGGACTTAACATCGGTGTCCTCCTGAGGAATGCAGCTGTCTGTGTTTATCCGCCCCGGTCCTATTCTCCGTTCACTGGTTCCCAGTCCATTTAAGAACTGTTTTAAAAAATCTTAATGTTGGTTTTTAAAGCGTTAAATGGTCTAGCTCCATCCTAACTTATCTGAGCTTTTAAATTTCCTATAAATGGGAGATCTCTGAGGTCATCAGACAGCCATAGAACCAGGTGAACGCCTGGGGGCCATTTCAGTGGTAGGAGCCCATTTTGGACCAGCCACCCTTTAGATCTTCATTCAACTTCAGAACTGAGAATCTTTAAGTCAAAGCTAAAGACTTCTCTTTTTAGACAGGCTTTTAATACCATGTAGTGGAACGGCACTTTCCTTCATTTTTTTATTCTTGTGTATTTCTTTTGCGAGTTTTATCGCACTTCATTGCAATGTAACTTTTATTCAGTTGGTTGTTGTTAAGCGCTACATAGATGATAATGATGATGATGATGATAATAATAATAATAATAATAATAATAATAATAATAATAATAATAAT